TAGGATTTAAATATCCGTTTAAGGTAATAAATTACCTTATTGCATTTTGACTTTTCCGGTATAATTTTCTTGATACAAAACATTTTGCTTTTGTCTTTCGGTCACTTCATCTAGTATTTCGAACAAACTATTTATTTAACTGGTAGGATAACAAATCCTTTTAAGGTAACAATTATTACCTTATTGCATTTTGTGTTCCAGCTTAATAAATAGTTTGTTCGAGATGTTTTTGTGTTATTTGATGTATCAAAGAAATGTAACTGGTAAATCCTTTTAAGGTAGTTAAAATATTACCTTATTGCATTTTATATTATCCAGTTAAATTTCTTTGATAATTGACGCTTTGATCTTAACACATTTAAACAATACTTTACTAGTTCAGTCAACTGCCGGAATACATGATAGCTACCAAAGATGAGGGGGAAATAAAAGAGAAAACTATGGCATCATCAAAATACTAATTCCAAAATCTAGGGGACTAACAAAGCCCTTGGTAGGTGTCACTACGATGTGTATGGGATGAACGTCCCCATAGCCCAAGCCAACCGGGACGAACGTCCCCATAGCCCAAGGCCCAGTGGACGATAGGCAACAGATGACTTTCGTTGTTTTTGGGACGAATGTCTCCATAGGCCAAGCCAACCTAGACGAATGTCCCCATAGGCCAAGCCAACCAAGACGAATGTCCCCATAGCACAAGCAAACCGGGAAGAGCGTCATCACCGGGGGGCTTGTGTTGGGTAAATGAGACGAATGTCCCCATAGCCCAAGGTTCAGAGGATGGTAGGCGACAGAGGACGGTCGTTGTCTATGGGACGAACGTCCCCAAAGCCCAAGCCACCCGGGACGAACGTCCCCATAGCTCAAGGCCAAGAGGACGATAGGCGACAGAGGACGGTCGTTGTTTTTGGGACGAACGTCCCCATAGGCGAAACCAACCGGGAAGAGCGTCCTCATCGAGGGACTTGTGTTGTGTAAATGAGACGAACGTCCCCATAGCCAAAAGCCCAGAGGATGATTGGCGAAAGAGGACCGTCGTTGTTTACAGGATGAACGTCCCCACAGCCCAAGCCAACCGGGACAAATGTCCCCATAGCCCAAGGTCCATAGGACGATAGGCGATTGTGGATTGCCGTTGTTTTTAGGACGAACGTCCCCATAATCCAAGCCAACCGGGAAGAGCGTCCTCACCGGGGGACTTGTGTTGGGTAAATGAGACGAACGTCTCCATAAATATTTTAATGGAGTCTGCACTTCTCTCGTCCATAAGTATTTTATGGAGTCCCCATAAATGAGACGAACGTAACCATAAGTATTTTAACATACAAGAGTGTATAGATGCTAACGTATTTACTCGCTGAGACGGCCATCAGGTCTGTAATGAATTTTACTTTAGGCCTATGATATAACAGTTGTGAGCCTTGGTTTTAACTTCTCTCTTTGTTCCTTAGATATATACATAAAGATGAAACCCTTTCTTCCTCTCCTTTACTTTCTCCATGGAACCAGAACATTCTTTCTACTTTATTTTCATTTGTTTATTTTGGCCCATAAGACTACAAATCATCACCAAAGTTCATTAATGAATCTGACCTAATCTTACAGCCAAACTCACAGTCCTGCTTTAGTGAAACACTTTTAATTAATGCGTTTACTCATTCGGATTAAAATACTACGTTTAGAAGCTAGGGTTGGAATGAAGGCCATAAGTCGGTTGAACATCGGCTGCACAATAAAAGAACACGTACGGAATGTGTGTGGTGCAAGGACAATGACACACGCATCACCTACTTCAATTCAATAATAAGACTGACAGAAGAAGAGTTGGCTGAGAATAAAGGGAGACGGAGACGGACTTAACGGCAAATCTGCGGATTTGCCATCGCTTTATATAAGTAGGAGACTAGTACCACTGTACTCTGTATTATTCAGTTATATTACTTTCTCAAAGTTGATTTTCTCTAGGCATGGTGTCGTAATTGTAACTTTCCTGAATTCTACTCCCTCCGTTCCTATTATAACTTCCAACTTTCCTTTTTTGCCCGTTTCAATTAAAACTTCAACTTTCATTTTTTGGTAAAGAATTTGTGATTCACAACATTTCTTACACATTTCTCTCTCCTCTGCACAACTCTCTACCACACAATATCCACTATATTAAATTGTGTGTCAAACCCTATTTGGAATATATAATAGGAACAGAGGTAGTAATATTTTAATGGGAGAAAGAGCAAAAATGACACTAAGGTTTTTCAAGAAACTCGATTTAGACACTAAAGTTTAAAGTAGACCAAATAAACACAAAATTGTAGTTTTTGGTTCCAATTTGACCACCCTTTAATGCCTCCGTTAAATTCTCCGTCGTTAACACCCATCATTCCAAAAGCCCCTGCAAGCGATCCCAAACTAGCCCCTGTCCCACCCCAGTCCAACACCCTGCCTCTCCCCAGCCCCAGTCTCAGATAGAGCCGTCAAAATGGGCCGAAACCCGCAGGCTGACCCGTTTAAACCCATTCATTGGTTGGTTAGGTTGTGAATTTCTGATCCATTTAGTTCGCGGGTTTAAGTGGGTTGGCCCAACGGGTTGCGGGTTTAAGTGGGTTGACCCGACGGGTTGCGGGTTGGCCTGCGAGCCAATATACAGACATATAGTTTTGACTTTTATTATCTTCAATATTGTTCTTTTACTACCCAAAATATTATAATTACAATTAAAAAATTACAACAATTGCAAAATAATTATTATTACTATAATAAATATTCAAATTAAATGTTGAAACATATATTTTATGTGATGTCCGATACAATATTTAACAATTACTAGTCATGATTTACAAATAATCAATCAAAAGGTTTAAATAGATCTTTACTTTTATACAATGAGTATTTTTGTTACATACCTTTTTATAGTTTTCAAATTCTCGTATAACTAGTACTTAATATTTTTTAGATAAATTTAACAAGTATTGAGTTATTAATATTTTGATTTCTTATATTTCCCTTATTACTAATTACTAATATAAATATATGCTCCGGGGTAATATCTATAAAAGAATCTTTTGTCATATATTTTTTACATTGGCCCGTGGGGCAACCCGTTTAATCCACGGAGTAGGTTGGTCGGGTTAGGGTTGTAGAAATCCTGGCCCGTCACTAAACGGGTTGGCCTGACCCAACCCACGTAAAACATAACCCGTCGCGGGTCGAGTTGACCCGTTTGACAGCTCTAGCCTCAGCCTCTGTTCCGACCTTGCTACCTCCCCAGCTCCAGATCCGAGCAGCCAAACCCCAATCAGCACCTCCTAGCCTGAGCTCCGACCAGCCTCCCAAACAGCCCACACCCGAGCCCCAGCCACAACCCGCTCTCAGCCTCGTAGTCCTCGTATTAGGCTATAATAACTCTCTGCTAGTCAACAACACAAATACAGAGACGCGGGAGTGGGAATAGGGAAGTGTGAGGTTTGTGCATTTTAGGATTTTAGGAAATTTAGACCATTGAATGGAAAATCAAATGGAAAACCATTTCAAATAATTCCAATATGGAAATAATTCTAGACTCGGATGTGATGGAGAGAGCATTGACGTAAGTCGCTATCTCAATAACCCAAGCTGCCGTTTTCTCCCTCACCTCCATGCTTGCTTGCTCTCTTGAATCCAAGCAAACTTTAATCGGATGGGGGAGTTAACTAAGGGGAAGGGTTAGGTGGTCAAAATGGAACCAAAAACTACAATTTTGAGTTTATTTAGTCTACTTAAAACTTTAAGAATATGTATTGAATATGGATCGTGATGGATTTTTTTTAATCCGTGGACTTTTAAAAAAGTAAATGGACTTTTAAATTCATAGACTTCTTCATGAATGAATTCTATGGACTTTTAAATCCATTGATAAGTTTATTGACTTTTAAAAAGTCCATAGACTTTTAAATGCGGACCACCACTCCTGGTCGTCGAAATTTTCACCTAGACCGCCGCTAACGATTTGCCCGTCCGCCCCCGTCACTTGAGTTCCCCCCTGTCGTCATCGGACTGATCCGCCACCAACAAAGTTGATTTGGATATGCAAGGGAATTAGGGACAATTACTTATATTAATTAATTAAATTAGGGGTGAATATGTAATATTTAATCCTCTTTAAGGAAAATCAAACATGTGATCATACTTTAAGAAGAATGCTACTCTGTATGTTTTAGTCCTACCCTGAGTAATTTTCTCTGTATAATACAGAGTATGATAAGAAACAAACAAACAAACAAACAAACAAACAAATAAATAAATGAAACAAATGTAATTCATATAGCAACGCAGAGTTCTACAAGAATAAATGAAGCATAAGAATTCAAATTTATTTTTATTAAAAAACTCAAAGTTTCAAGAATGTTCAATAATTTTGGTCATTTTATTAATGAGCAAGAACATTAATCGTTACACAACCGTTACACTCGTTGTTACATGTGGTACAAGCATAGTTGTAATTGAGTTTTTCTTCTTAATAATTGTTTTCTTTTCATTTCTATCTTGTAAAATTTTGTGTACTTATTTACGATTATATATTTATTAATTTAAAATTATATTTTTATGTGTTAGCGATTTAACGATGAAAGAAAATAATAGTTAAAATATTTATTTTTTTAATGGTTAAATGACGACGTACCAGAATTGCACTGATGTAATATTATCAATTCTTATACCAGTTCTTCTAGAAACTTCTAGAATCAAACCAATATGAGATTAACGAATCGGGGGGGGGGGGGGGGGGGGGTGCAAGCTAAAGTAGAAAAAGAATGGAAGAGGAGGGGTGGGGCGAGCTGGACTGAAGAAGAAGAAAGATTGAAGGGGAAGGGGTGACTTGGCTAAAGAAGAGGAGAGTTGGGAGGTGGGATGAGGGGACGGGATGAAAACCCGATATAAGAAAAGTCTACGAAAATCTTTAGTGAGGAGAAGAGATAATCGAAGAGAGTTAATGTACTAGAAATGAGTTAAAAGTCCGCGAGAATCCATGATTTTAGAAATCCATAAGAATGAACGGAACTTTGAATATGTCTAGACTTTTATAGACTTTTAAAAGTCTATATTGAATACACCTAGATTTTTGTAAACTTTTAAAAGTTCACATTGAATACACCTAAATTTTTAAAATTCATGTACTTTTAAAATTTTGCCACTAATTCCTAATACAATGCACCCTTAGTGTCTAATATGAGCTTTGTTAAAAACTTTGGTGGCATTTTTGGTCTTTCTCCCATATTTTAATACAGTATATGCCATTTAATTACATTCAAAAAAATAATAGAGAAAGCCACGACGAGGCACAAGCATAAATTAGGTACAACGGCCGTCCTCCTCCGAACACGACTCTTCACCTGCCTTGGAGATTCTTCTTCTCCTATTCCCGCCGAGAGTGGCGGCTGCACACGGCGGCTTCTACTTCCAAATTGCTCTTCCACTACTTCCAATTCAGCTTCTTCTTCTTCTGGTGGCAGCAAGCGGCGGCTACTAATCTCAGATTGCGGTTCTAATTCTGTTGCAGTATCCTCTAATTCAGCTTCTTCTTCTAGTGGCAGCACACTGTGGCTACTAATCTCCGATTGCGGTTCTAGTTCTGATGCGGAATCTTCTAATTCAGCTTCTTCTTCGGATTGTTCATCCACCACAGCTGCGGCTGCTTCCTCCCGTGTTCCCGGCGGAAGAATGGGAAGTTCACGGCGGCAGAGGGGGCATGAATTTTTAATCCTCAACCAGGGGAGAATGCAATCGGAGTGGTATAGGTGTTTGCAGGGCAATTCCCTGGCGTCGTCCCCGACCTGGAACTCTTCCTTGCAAACAGAACAAGCGTTGGAATCGTTGTCTTTCAAGTGAGATGCCGTGACCGTCACCGTCGGAATTCTGTCAATAATTGCATCTGGTACGGCTGCCGCATCACTTCCCTCCGCCAATTGATTGCTGGCCATACATAATGATCAGAGCAATAAACTTTGATCAATGATATTCTTTAATACGAAAATATTTTGATTATGAAAATTATATCAAAATGTTGCTGATTCAAAATATTTTCATAAAAGTATAAAATTTATAAATTATATACAAATATAATACTCTCTCCGTCCCGCTAATAATGAGACAAGAGGAAGTGACACGCAAATTAATAAAAAATTGTTTATGTGGTTGCTATTGAATGGATAAAGTAAGAATAAAGTAAGAATGATTTAAAGTCACACAAACTTTACCAAATTCGGTATGAGACAATCTTAGTGGGACAGATCGATAAAGTAAAATGAGACAATCATAGCGGGACAGAGGTAGTAATTAAAATCATTGTCCAAAGTTTGTCATCATTGACCAAGAAAAGTCAATATGACAGTCTTTTCGGGAGGGAGGTAGTATAATGAAGAGGGGTAACTCAATTTTAAGCTTATAACATTTTTAAATATTTTGTCGCACAGTTTGCGAATTGATGTACTGAATTTGTATTTATATATACATAAACTACGTTCTACAACTTAAATGTATATTGTCCATAACTTCACAAATTTAGCCCTTTGTGACATAAATTTCAACAAATTGAACAGATTTAGTCACTTCAAGTGTTCCTAAATAAGCCTATTCAACGCCTATATATAAAAGTTGACTTTATCATGGAGTATGGGACGGAGCTGCATCTTGTAAAAATAAGTTTGAAAGAAGTATTGGCCGGTAACACTTCTATTAATTTTATCAACCATTAATTCAAATATACAAATTTATGTGAAATATAGTTAATAGAAGATTTGTTAAGGAATGTAAAAAAAATTATATTCCTTACTTGTGCGAATTTGACAATATTTTACGCCGCATCAGCGGTAATACGCATTGCAGCTGCAACTGCAGTATTAGCCCAATCACAAAACCCACAACCGCTCGTGCAACCGTAATTTAAAACTTCGATGTAGAATAAGAAGATGAGACATATCTAATGTTATTCCCATTTTGAAAATAAAAAGATTGCAGTCTAATTATTACATTTAGGAGTAGTCCTAGTCTTATTTACGGAGTATTAATGAGTACTAAAGATGTTTTTACAATTTTACTTGACTATTTTCAGTCCAGGATTATATTAGATCTGACCAAATTTGGAAAGTTATAAAATGGGAAAAGGGCCAGATAGAGCCTCGAACTTACATAAAAAGGTCAAATAAGGCCTTATAAATGAAGCTCTGACCGGCCGTCGCCATTTGGTGCGGTTTCCGGTAGAATTTTTTGATGAAATTTTTTGAGCATATTATTCATTAAGTCTAGTTCACTCATACCAAATTTCAGCTAAAACTTCAATCAAGAAGACATTCAAATTAATACTTGAAGATAACTGCGGTTTTAATTGCGTGGTTATCTTCAAGAATTAATTTGAATGTCTTCCCGATTGAAGTTTTAGCTTAAATTTTGTATGAGTGAACCAGACTTAATGAATAATATGCTCAAAAAACTTTCATCAAAAAATTTCACCGGAAACCGTCCCAAATGGCGACGGCTGGACAGAGCTTCATTTATAAGGCCCTATTTGACCTTTTTATGCAAGTTCGAGGCCCTATCTGACCATTTTCCCTTATAAAATATACAAAGACCCTACAAGACTAGAACAAGTTCATATCAAATAGAATTTTTATATAATGCTCGTAATGAACATAGAACATCACCTTAATGATTCTCTATCATATAAAGCCAACGCTAACAAAATGGCTAGGATCGACAGTTCCGGGCTGAGCTGACTCGTAGAGGGCTCATCATCCGCCACCGTCCGATTAAAGATTCTGGTGGCGGAGCACCGTGGGCAGGTGGTTATAGCGGCCGGCGGAATGTGGTCGTATGTGGTCGGGATGTCCGTTTGCCAAAAGCATTGGGCACACCAATATTGTCGCCTAAGGTGTGGCATATTTTTGTCCAAGGAATTTAAAAGTAGTTGTTTTGCATATATATAGCGCAGAAAAACGGAAAGAAAGAAAGAGGACATTATTATTCTCATTCTTTGATTTCTCTCTTCATCACCATCTTCAATACTTCTCCCCAAACTAAAGAAAGGGATGGATAAGACTGCTTTAATCTTTATGCGGATTGCATTATTTTTATAAAAAAGTTTCAGCCTCTCCCAAACTACCTAATCAATAAATCAAGTTATCGAGATATGCTTGACTCCTTGCAAAAAAAGAGAGAAAAGATATGCTTGACCTCTCTATAACCGCTCATATAGCTTGTATAGTGGTTCTACTAAACTCACTAAAGTGATGTTTATTTTTTTCTTTCATTTAAAAATCTAATCCTAGATGATATTATTTTTATATGATTTTCTTAAAATGAAAAAATCAAGATAGAAATAATGTTATATTGAGTTTGGATTTTAGATAGTACTGTGTTCTTCTTCTCCTTAAACATACGGCTAAGAACCAGAGGTGTTCCCAACATGGACTTTTATGGATTTTAATGAAATTTAGAATTCCATAAGAATCTAGGTGTCCTCAATTTGGATTTTCATGGAGTCTGTGAAAGTATTGATGTTCTCAAACATTCCGTGGATTTCAATTATTTTTTATTTGGATGGATTTTAAAGGATTTTGATAGAATTATACATGTAAAACATTTCATTATTAAAGAGGAAATGCGGAAGAAAGATCGGCTTTCTTGACAGAGCTTCTATTGACTTGGCTTTCACATCTGCCGGCGGGATAATCGCTCCTGAGGTTGCCGGTGAATTACACAAGCTTGGAGAGGACGGAGAGATGAAGCTTCGATGGCACTTTTCTCGCTGGGTGATGGTGTCGTCTTGGTCTCATATGTGAAGACCACAAGGGCACGTGCGAGAAGGACGGATCCAGAGCTGAGTTTTCTTACCTTAAGGACTGGCGGCTTATTTAATTGTCCGTCTGATTTTCAAAGGATGTATGGGCAGAGATTGGAGAAAAAGATACAGAGAAGAAAATAGTTGTCGCACGAGAAGGAGAAGATTTGTCCCTCAAATTCCATTAAAATCCATCAAATCCACAATCTTTACAAATCCATTAAAATCATTATTGAGGACACCTCCTTAAAAGAATTTGAATGTATTAAGACTGGGGCATTAGTATATCGCTAAGTATTAATATTATTTTTTCGTGACGCGAAACGGAACACCTATCTCGTTGGTCATCCACTATGCGAATGACAAATCACGTACCATACTTAGAAGAAAATAATAATCTTGAAAAGTTAAAAAAAAATCACACAAAAGTATCTTTAGAGAACTTTAATTTTTTTAATAGTACTTATTTGTGCAAGTGTTACATGTGTTGCACTTATTTGGAGCATCAATGTGCTCCCTTTATTCCATAAACAAAATGTCATGTTGATTTATGATGTGTGAGTGTGTGACTAAAGATGATGATATCCAATTACGGAGTATTTCAATACTTTTATTATTAATAATAAAAATTTATATAATTAAGAAATAAATAAAAGTTGTGATGCATTCAATAAATCGAATTGAAACGTAATAAAAGTTTGATATATAAACAAGTCCTTAATTGTTAAAATAGGAGTAAAGCTTAAAATTTCTCCAAATATGAGTTGATTTGTAGTTGAACAGAAATGTCCGCGGAGTTTGGCAAACCTACTGCCACCGAAAAACATGGATTGTCGTCACAGATCCGGCATCCACCGCTACATATCTTGCCGATGTCGCTGATGCCAAACTTTTATCAGAACGCCAACCTGAATCGAGAATGACATCTTAATGGCATTTTCAAAGGAGAATATGACATTTTCAAAAGAAAATATGTCATCTTAACAGCCTCCATCGCTCGTCGTCGCTCCTTCGCCTCTTGCTGCCGCTCGCTTTTGCTTGCATCTAATCGTTGGCATTGATGAGCTCACTGTTGCAGACTTGCAACCAGAGCGGCAAAGAACGGCGAATCAGTGATGCACTGTTGAAACTAATTAGAGGGGTAAAATAAGTATAATAATTCTATTTGGGGAATAAAAATATATTTACTCCAATTTAAGAATTTAAACAACATTTAAGTCCAATTTAGGGCAAAACTCCCTTTGTATAAGCTTAGGGTTAAACTGTCATGATTTTCATATTTTATTACAAGTGAAAGACCAGATACGCTTAACTGCGCCTTCAACCATGCTATCATCCCCCAAGTTTAATTTAAATCACCTAAAAACAAAAACAATTTCTAGCCGTTATAGTCTTCTCTCCCCTACTGCCCAGCTTCCAGCTTCTCGGTTTCCCGTCTGTTGATCTTTATTGTCTTCGATCACAATTTCTTGATTTTCTGCAGACCTTATCATCATAGTTTTTCTCAAGAAGAATATGAACTCTGTGAAGGGAAAGCTACTGAAGAAATTGAAGACAATAAAAACGATTGGGTATTTGAGGCCAGAGAGTATCACCCTTCAAGAAAAAGAATTCAAGAAGAATCTTCAACCCACATTGGAAGAGTGTCCGGAAATCAATGACGTTCCTGAGCTGATGGGAGACCTTAAAGGTGAGGAAATGGTGGGTCTTTATAATGGATTCGACTATAAAGAAAACATTAGGCCGAAATTGAGTTATTCGAAGCCCAAGATTGAAGCTTTTGGGGGTAAACCCTTGCCTGATAATGATGTGTCGATTTTCCGGCGACCTGATATGAATTCCGCCACTCTATTCGACCCCAACCTTCTTGCAGCTTTTGAGCAGGCAGTGATTGCAGTAAAAGCTTTGGAAGCGGAGAGAATGGCAATAATTGAAGAAACAATTGATCAGATAATCAAAGAAGAAGAAGAAGAAGAAAATGGAGGGGTATTTTCGGGATTCGAAGAAAGATGCCCTCCGGGAGGCTCTGATTCAGTGATTCTATACACAACAGGGCTTAGAGGGATCAGGAAGACATTCGAGGACTGCCAAAGGATTCGGTTCCTTCTCGAAAACTTTCAGGTTACGTTTTTCGAGAGGGACGTTTCTATGCATAGAGAGTACAAGGAAGAACTATGGAGGGTTATGGAGAGAAAGGTGGCTCCCCCAAGGCTGTTCATCAAGGGGAGGTACATAGGGGGAGCTGAAGAAGTGGTGGGGTTGCATGAAAAGGGGATGTTTAAGCCCCTTCTTAAAGGCATTCCACTTGATGTGTCTCCAGGTCAATGTGATGGTTGTGGTGGGGTTAGGTTTGTTTTGTGTTTCAACTGCAATGGAAGCACAAAAGTTCTCGATGATCGTGGCGGCGATGATGGTGGAGATAGGGGTGGTGAATCAGTGAGATGTCCAGCTTGTAATGAGAATGGGCTTCTTGTATGCACTTTGTGTTCTTTGAGTTGAAGTATTGAATTCATTCTTTGTTCACATCCACCACTATGATGTAACTTCTGTATACATTTTTGTTAGTTAGTGTTTCTTCATTGTTACTGTAATATTTGGTTTATTTTATTTATTCATTTATAAATCAGCTATATACAATCTATGCAAGTTTTTTTATACGAAACTCCATCATCCGATTTGTAAACAGCTAGCCTCAAAAGTGAGTTACTATATACAACTTTTGTTTCATTTGTTAGCATAAAGTAGTTATGCAAAAGGTTTTTGTAAATTAAAGAAAAGGATAGCACAGATGGAGTGTGGTTATGAAAACATGAGAAATATTGCCCTATTTTTTTGCCTTATTATTTGCTATTAAAGCACAAGTATAGAAGACTTATACAAACTGTTGGAGATTGGTATGATTCTTATAATCTGGATTACACTTGAAAAGCTAAATTATTCCTCAAAACAAGCTTGTTGACAGTTGACTTATCAGCTTTCGCCTGATAACTTCTAACTTCGAACTGATAAGTTAGTTTATTTCATGTTTGGTAATATTAGACCATAAACTAGCTTTGAAATGCAAAATGACATGAAGGAGGGCCAAAGGGGTTGTTTCAGAAAATTTAGAGTAAAAAAAAATATTAAAATGAAAAGGCTCAAGCGACTTATTTGAAAAACTTCCATTAAAAGCTAATGACAATCTTGAAGCAAAATCATGTCAGGGATAGCCTTAATGACATGAATAAAGTGGGTACCAAGATGTTTAATTCCACTTTCATTTCATTTCACTTCGTTTAACGGGCAGTTAGTTTCGTAGGAATCACTTGTGCGCCCCATTTCCCAACACTGCTTGTTTCAGGCTTGGGCTAATTCTGCTGATGTTTGATAAAAAAAAGTCCTTTTTCTGAGGTGCTTTGACAATTTTATTTTGAGTGATAAAACCTCAGTGATTAATTTTAGATATATCACTTTACAACAACTGTGTGAAACATTTTTTATTCTCATTTAAATACAACAAAATCAGTACCAAATCCTCTTTGATTTAAAATACTCCGCAACAAAAAATCTAACTTGTTAGAATTAGAAAAATTGTTTACCATTAGAATTAGAAAGATCATTTTGCCAATCACCCTTATGGCTTTACTTAAGCATACATTACTTCATACGAGTACAAGGGAGTTTTTAGTGAACAAAGGATGTATTTTAAATCATTGCACACCAAATACCAACTGGAAATACAATGATTACAACTGTACCAGTTTCTAGATCCAAGAAGAAAATGCACACACATACACACAAAAGATACATAATAGGTTACACGACACAACTAGTCATTCAGCCACCTTAACACCTGTCAAGTAGACTTGGCACTGGATGATGCTTCCCTCGATGTAAAAACCGGGCATAACCATCAGCCCAACCTTAGGTTTGAACTCCGCGTCTTCAACAATGAAGTTTTTCACAACACTATCCATGTAAACTTCTGAGAACTCACTTCCCTTCTTGACCTGAAAAACCTTAACAGGAGGATCAAATGAAAATGCCAGCCTATGCAAGAGCCAGATTGATTTTGCCAGCTTTAGAAAAGCCTGATAGAAAGCTGTTCTCGGGTGTCCACCCCCAATTATAAAGTTCCGCTGATCCAAGTTCCCGAAAAATGAGGCCTCCATCTTTGGATGAAGAACTGCAAGGTATTTCGTTCTGCAGAATTTTCCAAAAGCGGAATCTGGTTTTTGGCCCACAGCATCTAGTGGATCCATTTCCACTAATGCAGTATACTGTTCATAGAAACTTTCCTTTACGGTTTCTGGATCCTCTGGTTTCATGGAGAAAAATTCATCCTGAAACCCAATGAACATTTTGTGAGAAATGTTTGATTCAAATGCATATTTCTTGTGAGCTCGTTTCCCATATACAACATCCGACTCAATTGAATGTGCTGCAGCATCAAGATCCCATCCTGCTGCTTTCATCATGTTGATCACTGGTTTGGAAAAATCATGAACAGCTTGATATGCAGATTCCACAGCAGATTTGAAAAGATCAGGTGTTAGATCAACCACAGGAATGAATCCGTTACCGGAACTTTCTTTTGCTGATAAGCCCCTGAGCTTTAGGTTTTTCTCAAGTTTGACTCGTTTCTGATTCGCCTCTTGAATCTGCTGTTGCAATTGAACAATTTCAGAATCTTTGTTCTGTATCTCAGATTGAAATTTCTTGACCATCACCTCATATGTTTTCAACAGGTTCTGCTGTTCTTGTATTTCTGCAGCCAAACGAGAATCCTGAGGAGAAACACACACGGGCTTAGGGTTGTGCTCCCTGTAGAAGTGTTTGAGTTCTGATAGGGTCTTTAGCTCTGAAATCACAAGTTTATCAGCAACTTGGATCTTGTCAGGGTCATATGGAGTGTGGGCGGATTGGAGTTGGATGTAAGCTGATTTGAGTGAGGATACATTTGTGAAAATCTTGGAAATTATAGCATCCACTGCTTCTGGTTTTTTATTATTAATAGAATCTTCCATGGGCTGTGGGTGGACCTTCTGGCTGTTGCTCTCACGGAGTTGAGGATCTTTTGCCCCAATTGGTTGCATAGCTACTTGCAAAGCTGCAATGTTGGAATTAATCTATCTGTTTTGGGGATTAACCTGTAACACCAGACACTCAGACATCATAATGGTAAACTACATGTGTAATTATTAGGCCAACATCATCAAATATAAGATTTATAACTGAAATTACATTCCTCCTTTTCTCTTCAGCGCAACAAAAGTAGAAAAAAAAGGTCATGTCTAAACATAATTTTATAATACCTCATCTCAACAGCCATTAAACAAAACAAGTCAATGTAAGATAATGTCCTATCCCAATCATTCATTACCTACGAATATTATTCTGCTAGTGTTCTTTTCAGGCATGAGGCATCTACTAATATTATCCTGCTAAGATAATGCAAGATAAAAACATCAAAGGATCCGGTTCAATCAGGGGAAGAATTTCCACTATATTACCTGAATCTACAGAATCGATCAAGAAAAAAAATCATGTAAGCATTGTTATAAGCAAGATTCCATTGATTCCAAAAACCACTTGTTCTCCCAAAAAGATGTTTCAGTCCACATGCAGGGCTGATAAGTGTTAAATTAGGTCCACTAACTTGCTACGTCATAATACATAAACAGCAAATCTGGCTCACAATAATTGTAAGTTCAAAATCACTCATAAAGAGTGAATAAAAAACTCATTAAAGCCAACATATTCATTGCTCCTAAACACTTGATTTCACTCTAAACCCAACAAAATCCGAACTTTACTTCATCATGACAAAATACTTAACCCTGCACTCAGATCTGTTCCTATAGAGTTCAAATTAGGGCTTTGGTGCAAAAACAAAATGCTCGGATTTCGAGCACTACTTGCTTTACGCACACCAAATTTACCCGTCATCTCAATATTTAGAAGATCAAGTTTAGTTTGCAAAGGGTTTAAAGGCACTGAAGTTGATTTAAAAATAAACGAGCAAGTGCGAAAAGTAGAAGAGTCCGTGTTGTTGCTCACCATTACTAGAGTTGAATAAAGAGAGATGACGTGAAAACTGAGTTGAAGATAGAACCGGCCGTAGAGAATTACCGATAACAAATTGTCCTGTAAGCTGGAAAGGAGAGACGAATTCAGTATACCCGTGAGACGTGCCGGCGGCAAGAAAGTGAAAAGCTAGGAGAAGTGGAGACCAGGATGCGGGGGCTTCATTTGGGTTTGTACATCCGATGAATAGGCTAAGAAAATGTTTTTGTCCTCAAATGTAATTATTATACTCCCTCCTTTCCTAAATGGCGTTGGGATTAAGATAGTGGATATCGAGAAGAGAGTTACCCAAAAGAGAGAAAATTTATTTTGGGATGTTCAAAAATAAAAGGTGGAAGTATTTTTAGGGAGATAGAAGTAATAGATTATTAGATTCCATTTGGTAACACGAAAATCCGTTGCTTCTGCTGAAAAGATGTTCTGATTGAAGTGGCTGCATCAGCTAATTTTGCTCATTTAAGAAAAAAATATTTTTTAAAAATATATTTTATTAATAAAATAAAGAAAAAAACTATATGTAAAAATAGCTAAAATGGTCATCTACAATAACTTCAGCCAATACATCCAGAAAAAGTAATTCCAACCTTACTTTTTCTTATTATTACACAATGCATCGCGCGAAAACAAAAGTTACGTGTTTGGTGAAAAAGTTAGCTGATAAGTCTGATAAGCTGAAAAACAATGTTACCAAACGGCCTCTTATCTTGTCTGTAAAAATGTTTTTAGAAAAAAAAATTTATATTTTGTTTGTGAACTGAATTCACATACAAAAAATAGCCTCTTAGAGTGGTGAATATAGATGTGGGTATAAAATCAAAGTTAATAAGCATAACTCCGCCCGTCTTCAACCAAGCATTCCAGTTCAGCTGGTTGTGAGGTTACCGTGCCTAGTGGGAGGTCTCGAGTTTGAAACCCGTTAGGCACACAAGGGTTTGAAACTCAATGGAGTGGTCTGTTTAAGTCTGATATATATGTGTATTTTATAATTGTCAAAGTATGCTCTAACATTGTTTGGTCTGTTTAAGTCTGATTTGGTCTTGCCTCAGACTCAAATAAGTCCAAGTAAAACCGTCATAAATCATCTTTTCACACATAGGTTTTGCCTATTTTGGCCAAGACTTCAAACGCATGAGACTTTATTTTGACTCCTTAGACACGCCTCACGTCTTTTAGAATACTAAATATTGTAATATATATACTCGTAGTTATGATTGACATTTTTTAGTATTATTATAATTATAAACTAATGTCTCCTCATAAATTAGTGTCTGCCAAACTAATATGTACTCCATATATCTACAGCCACAAGGCCCACAAATATGAAATCATTTAAGATATAAACAAATTAAATTAAACCTAAATAGATCATGTTCGACTGGACCCGAATCAAACAATAATAAAATACACATTCATCAAATATTTACCTAACAAGACTTAAATCGGTCAGAATACAAATATTTTATTAAAAAATTACTGGTGTCAGGTAAAAGATTATAATATTTTAATTTAATATTTTTTATAAAACAGGAGCACAAATAAAAAAATTATGACATTTTATAAATCGCCTATCAGTTTTGCAATTGAAAATCGTTCACAACTCGGATAAAATTATTAGTGTCGAAATGTGGATAGGAGCCATTTATTTACTTATTTTATGTAATCGAGTACTGTGTGTTGGACATTTGAGTTTTGGAGGTGTGGACGGAACAATTTTAATTTTTAATTAAGGAAATTTTGGTAGGATATAAAATAATTATTTTGCATGTGAAGTGAAGGGACGTAAAAAGTTTACGCTGCTTGATTTGATTACTTAAAGTAAATTGTATGATACGAGTACTTTTAAATTTAAAAGGAGGTTTAAATTTGTGTATTGTGTATGTTGTAGAGTTCACTCTTCCTTAGTTTCATTCAATAGACTTAATTGTCTTCTGACTAGCATAACCGACATTAATATTTTGTATTGCTTTCTTAGTTCCTTTCTGCCTTCCCCGTATGCTTTTCTGCGTTTTAGGTTTGTGCTCAGCTTCCCGGGTCTGCACTTGTTTCTCATTTGTGCTTAAGCTTCCCAGGTCTGTGCTCTTGTTTTTCTGATTTGCGCTTAAGCTTTCCAGGTTGCGCTCTTGTGTTTCTGATTTGCGCTTAAAGCTTCCTAGGTCTGCATTTGTGTTTCAACTTTGCACCAGGCCATCGAGCAAAGGAATTTAGTGGGGTATGTAATTAATATATACAAGTGGATTTCTTCAAATAACTTACTTATATATAAATTAGTTTAATATTATCCATTTTTTTATTTTATTGTCAATGGTTTCAGGTTTGGAATTCAAGAAATGATCCATATTCCAAGGAAGAGTTTGATGAAATCAGAAATGTGTGGGCTAGGTTTTGTGTAGATGAGATTATGAATATGTAGGATTTTTAGACATTTGAAGATTTTAATGTATAATGTAATTTCTTTTAATTATATTGTAATGACATATTTGTACGCTTATGGAGTTGAATTCTAAATGAAACAATTTGTACGTTTAATATGAAGTTTACGAATGAATGGTCATGTAATGTCTTTTAAGTATCTTGTAAATAAAACATGATATATGGTAATTGCAAAATCTGCATTTAAAAAATAATTAATATTAGAGGCGCTTCCTTCAAAAAAAGCGCCTCTAATATGTAATTTCCGAACGGTTTAGAGGCGCTTTTAAATTATAAAGCGCCGCAAATATTGTTTAAAGTTTCCGTGCGTGCGGCGCTTCTAGTAAAAAAGCGCCGCAAAATGTCGAAATAAAAAAATTAATTTAAAAATTTTTGAGGCGCTTCTGACAGAAAAGCGCCTCCAATCAAGTATTTGCGGCGGATAAATCGGAGGCGCTTCGAAGCGCCGCACGCTCCTGTCCAGAAGCGTCTCCAATGACCGTTTTTCCACCAGTGTAAAAAACATTTCGCACTGTACAATGTAAAGTATTTTACATAGATGAGTGTGGTAAAACACATTGCATGATTTTTCTGAAGCATTGCGGTGTCTTGCATGCAAATTAAAAATAAATTACACATCTAGTCAAACAATGTAATCTAATTTACATGCAATTATGCAAAGTAATATTTTCCTTAAACTTTGCGTGCAATCGTTTAATGTGCAAAGATTTAATGTGTAAACTGCCAAACGGGGTGCATAAAATCTCCCAATCAGAATACGGGGTGGGGGGTCAACCGGGGGGGTGGGGGGTGGTGTTGGGAATAACAGGATCGTGCTAATATGAGAGAAAAACACTTCTATTACTTTCAAGAATAGAAAGAAGAGACATACAAGCTCTAATTAAAAACTCTCAAAACAACACCTCACATATCTCTCAAGGATATTCACAACTCTTCTTGGTTGTGCTATGATGATCTATTCTAATTTACTTGATGATAGAAAGACTCTCCAATCTCTCTATTTATAGCACCAAAACTAGGTACTATGAAGGTGGGAGGAAGGTGAGATTAAACATGAGGAAACTTTGAGGAAGCTCCCTTTGTCATTCTTGCACATGGATGAAGCTTCATGGTTGTTGCTTGCACATGGAGGAAGCTTCATGGTTGTTGCAATTGAATTCTTCACGTGAGGGCAGCCTCATCTTCCTCGTGCTCCTGGGTTTTCATTTCTTCAATTTTTTTGCTAAGATGGCACTTATTGTAGAAGCCTTTCCAGGCATCAGGTCGCCACTCATCACCAATCCTACAAGAGGAGGCGGCAGTAATGCCAAAAGACATCACGACACGACAACAACCTTGTTGGAGGAAAAGATTGGGGGAGGAAAAGGTCGTTGACGGATGAGATCAAGGCCAGAAGAGATCGGATCGACGGAGGAGGTTGTTGCCAGAGGAGAACTATGTAGGAGGTCATCGCCGAAGACATCGGAGCTCGACACTGCCAGCGGCGGTGGAGTGCAGCGGCGCCACCGCTAGTACTCAATTTTACAAATTATCAAATGATATTAAATATCAGACTTAAACAATCTTGAGATAATATGAAGTAAATCCATAATATAAATGTTTTTCTGATATTAAACCATACAATCCATTTACTTCTTTCTTTCTAAAATGAATTTATTGCACATATGATAAAGTTTAACTTATTTTAGCATAAATACAAATATAATATGCACCATATATATGAATTAGCAACATAATATTATTCAAAAAATAAATGATCTCATACATACTATTATAATATTAAGAAAACTTCTCAAAAATCAATTATTTATTAAAATAAGATTCATGCGATTAAACAAGTTATATGTTATTTAAAAGTATTGGTGAATGCATACACTTTAGACTCTTTATTTTTAAATAATTTGATAAATTTTTATCCATCTTTATAATGAAACAAATTTTCTTTGATTTGTCATTTCTTACTCTTTATTGTACAATTACATTTTTCTAGGGAACGCTCCAATTATAAATTTAAAGTTATTTCCATTACGTATGCACTAATGAGATATTTTTGAATAAAAAATAGTAGTCTTGCACAAACAAAAAACCAAATCACACCCCTACATTAGTGAAATTTTTTTGCCCCCCGACCTTAAACCTCTTATCGTCCCTGGTTTCAACTCATTCGCTCCACATAGTCTACGGGATGCAAATGGTTTTATGTAAGTTTTCGAAATCATGGTGAAGAAAGGTGGGAAATGTGGTTTGTATACGCCCAAATTGTCTATGCCAAATAATTTGATTCAATTCTTAATGCAAAAATGTCTGTGATATGAACAAAATTTGGAGAGACTTTGCATATAAGATGAAGTACCGTTACAGAAAAGTTGAGAGGTATTTAAAATATTTAGAAATTCTGGTCCTCAGAATGAACTGCAATTGGTGAATGGTGACTAATGAGAAAAACATTTCTGCCCCAATATTTTAGAGGTTATTCCCATGCTTTGAGGGGCTACAAAAAGGATTGATAGAAGGGTGTGGGAAGGTGATATGTGTGGAATTGTGAATGCTTATTTTCTAAGTAGATATAGGAGCTATTTACTGAGGACTTAATGGAGACCACGGGTTAATTGTTCAGCTATATGACTGCTTTTACATGTGACTTTATTAAAATTCTGACTTATTCGCTAAGTCATTTTTTAAGTGATTCGTTCAACCTCATTTTAGTACTCCTTCCTATTCAGTCATATAAATCGATCGAGGGTCTCTTTTTTACCCTCGTTCTGATGCGAAGGGATTTTAATGTTGGACTGTGCAAATTACAACAGATTCTTCTTCTCCAGTCAAAAAATTAGTGAAGCACACCAACGAAGAAAGCTTTCATGGCTGGT